AAAAAATCTTCAAGGTTGTTTGTTTAAATTCTTTTCTTGATTTGAAATCTGCAATTCAGGATGTTGCCACAGTATTCTTGGCAGATGGCTATCCAACGTGGACCACATTCAAATATCTTAAATTATTAGAATGCTTCCACTAATATTTAGCCCACATTTGCTTTCCTGACCTTTGAAGCAACAGAGAGCAGTTATTTTCCTATTTAACATGTCTTGAATGGACTAGGTACTGATGACCAATCTAAATGGTATTTCACTTAAAGTTCTCTATAAGGTACAGTTCTTTTTTAGAACAACGTTAAAAAGAAACTACTTCTGATTCTTTAATAACAACAAAATCAAATCTGTCTGGGCACCATATCGGTTTCTAAGTTACATTGGCTTTCTTTTCAGCAAAATGTTCACCGTGTCATGAATAATAATTTCAAAAGAGATGGGCATGAAAGCAAAAGAGCTTAACTTGAATATTTGTCTTTGAAAATAGCAAGCCTAATTAGAATAATCAAAGGCAGTGTTCTCTTATCTTCTTCATTATAAAATATTATTATTTCATTAAAATGTGTATTTTCATGCAAACAATGCAGCTGCATATTTCTTTTCAGAACCCTTCCAAATCCTTGATCAGAACCAGCTTTGATGGTGCTGATAAAAGCCATGAGCTTTGCATATTTGATGCCTTGGGTCAGTAGCAATAGCTGTGGATGACTGAGTGATGGATTTGGGTTGAGCTTTATTTTAATTTATTTTTAAAAAATAGTTGTAAACTACTGCAGTTGCAAAATGCAGGCAGTTTTAAGAACTGAAAGAGGGATTCTTTAAGCTAAAATAGAAATTGCTTGCAGTTGGAAAGCTACCTGATTAAGCTATAGCTTAATCAGTAGGATCATCATTTATAGAAACTAGCTTTAATGAGCAAGTTAGCGTGGCAGATCTCTACACCAAGTGGTTTCAAGCAAATTCTACCAGTTTTGTAGATCAAAGGGACTTGGGTAAGCTACTCTTGCCAGAAGCCTTTTTTTTTTTTCAGCCGATGCATTTTCCTTATTTCATCTCCAGATTTAGTTTTTGCTGACATTTTTAAACGCTAACATTAAAAGTAGATTTATGTTTATTATCTGGTGTTCACTGAATTTTAAGCAGACAGGTTGGCTATGTAGCATCAAGCATAATTTCCCCCTCCCCAATAAGAGTTTCCAATTGAAATAATGGCAATAGGAAATAATCAAGTGAGGCCACATATGGCACCAGTTTTGTCAGTCATGCAGTGGTGGTGACCAAATCAGAACCATTCAGCGTCATATTACTGATTGATTGATTGATTGATTGATCAATTCATTCATTCACTGAATTTCTATAGCCAGCCAATTCAACCAAGTGATTTAAGGAGCTTACAATTCTGAAACTCTAAAACAGTGTAAACATTAAAACAGTTAAAAAAAAACATCCACAAAATACATAAGTACAACCAGGAACTGTGATGATTAATTAGCTAATAATAAAACCAAGTAACAGGACTTCTCACACATTCCAAACCCCAGGCCCGGGTAAATAGCCAAGTTTTTAAAACTTTGCAAAAAGTCAACAGGGATGAAGCCAATGTAATCTCCATGGGGAGAATGTTCCATAAGGCAGGGGCTACAGCAGAGAAAGCCCTTCTTCTACTTTCCATCAATCAATATGGGCTGACAGGATCAGCAGCATGCCTAGTTTGTTTAGTTGAATTTGACAAGTAGAAAATCTTGGGAAAAGATAGTCTTTCAGGTAATCTGGTTCAAAGAGACATAAGGCTATAAAGCTGACTGAAAATATTACTCTTGTTTGAACCAGGCAGGGGGCTGCTACAATTTCTCTCTACATTCCTTCCTCCTTTTTTCTTCCCCATTTAAAATGACTCTATGGAGATAGAGTCAATGACCTTCAATAACCTTAGAAGACAGCATAGAAGAAGATGGCTCTCCATCTCACCAATTCCTTGAGGATAGAAACATTGCCTAAGTAATGTGCTATGATAGCTGCCTAGGATTAGAACCGAGGGAATACTATTGAATTGACCTAGCATAAAAGCCTTGCAATATGTCAGTGATGTGGTATGGGAAAGGTAGTTGGCAGAAGCAAAGAGAATCCTGCATACAAACAACTGAAAACTGAATTCCTTTTCCTTTCTTTAAAGAGTTCTAAAACATTGTGATAACACATTCAGGACATTACTTTTATTTATTTTATTTTACTGATTTATCCCATCTTCATTATTTTTGCAAATAACTCAAAGCAGTGAACATGCCCAACATACCTTCCTTGCCCTATTTTCCCTACAACAACAACTTTGTGAGGTAGATTGGGCTGAGAGAAAGTGATTGGCCCAATGTCACTCAGTTGGCTTTCATGACTAAGGCAGTACTAGAACTCACCGTCTCCCAGATTCTAGCCTGGTCCCTTAGCCACTAGTTCAAACAGATTTTCTTTAGGTTCTTTTCCACATAGATTGAAGTTTGTCTTCTGAAATTAAAGGGCCTAAATCAGCTTGGGTGAAGATAAATTTCAGCGAAAGATTGAGGAAATGTAGCACTATAATTGATGCACATTAGAGCAGGGCTCCCCAGTCCTCAAGGCCATGGACCACCAGCGAGCCGCAGCCCGTTGGGAACTGGGCCGCCAAAGCAGCAGGTGGACACACGAAGCTTCATTTGCACATGCATGGGATTTAGGTTGCACAGACAAAACCACTTCCTCCACCACCCCAGCCACTGCCGGTTCAAGAATCAAAAACTTTGGGGATCCCTGTATTTGAGCACTACAAAAACAAAATATATGAGAATGCACTTCATGCCCTTTGTAAGAGCAAATTTGGATTCTGCACCACAGCTAAAAAACCAGATTTGTTTTATAATACTTATGGCACCAAGCCCATATTAGCCTAGTAAGAAAAATGTAAATATAGTAACATCCACACATTCCTAAGGTCCCTCAATTTGGGGGCAACTTTCCCCTGGTAATGCTTGAAAGCCTACCACCAAATAATTAAAGTAGTTCACATATTTAATTAAATTTCCTTCTAATTGTAACTTGTAGGATTTTTCCACCCGGTGTGTCATCTCTGTACAAAAAGAAAAAATAAATTGATATTTGTTAATTGTATAATTAATTGGTTTACATTTAATTATAATTACATTTTATGAGGCATTCTGGTTATAGTTAGTTACCTTGAAAAGCTGACTAGCAAAGGGGAAGTCATCTACCAGCTCCTATAAGGTTTTTTTGTAATGAAAGCTTGTTCATTCAGGGGAAGGGATTTTTTTCCTTCTCCTCCTCCCCAGAATGTTTTAATTCTACCAGGATTTGAGAACAATATTTTACTTTATTTTTGCAAGTAGACCACAAAGCATCTTTTGCTTTCAGCATGCTGATTCTACTAGCTGTGGTTTTAAAGTAGACAGTGTAACCATTTTTCAAACTACTGTATTTCCAGTTGTGCAAAAAGAAACCACAGAATTCCCCCCACGGGATTTATCTGCAATCATCTGCTACACCTTCTGCATTTATGTTTCGCTGAGACATGCTTCACGGTGCCATGTATTCGAAAAAGAATAATGTAAAAAATCCCATTCTCTGCTTTTAAATGGAAGAAAGCTTTGGAGACTGACGTTAAAATGGCTCAGTGCCTTTGTCGATTTATGCAAGCAGTCACTAGATTCAAACAGATCTGCTATAATAAGTCATTTATATAAGCTTCCTCAATTTACATGGCTCTTTAAAAATAATAGAAGGTTCTCTCTCACCCCCCCCCCTCTCTCTCCCTCCCTCCCTTCCTCCCTCCCCCCCTCTCTCTTCATATCAGAACTTACAGCCAGAAAGAGACATGCTACAAGGCTTAGACCTTATTAAGCTGTAGCTTTAAAAATATTAGTTGATGAATCACATGATTTATAAATCCTGGGCTGCAAATGTGCATTTTTAGAAAGCTGTTCCCTACTGAGAAGATTCTAATTCTGACATTGGTGTATGGAGTTTGCATTCATGCAGTACATCGCTTCTTTTCTTTTCATACGCCCTGTCTTTTTTCCCCCTGTAATTTTCAAGGAGAAATGTCACTTTCCTTAGGCTTTGTGAAAATAATTACCAGCGAAAGTAATGTATAACAATTTATATTAATTGATTAAAAAGCATAGCCCAGGCTTTGATTAGCCTGGAACTAAACAATTTATAACATTAGACACTAAAGGTGGCGCATGTTTAAGTGCACAAAACCATCTGCCTGTTACTGCTCTTAGTCAAGCCAAACTGAAGAATCTCCTCACAACAGAAATAAAGAAGAAAGTGAATGTATTTATTTATTAGCTTTCTAGTAGATCTCACCTTTATTTTATATGACGGACAGCATATATAATGTACAACTTTCTGTTTTCTCACAACAACCCTGTGGGGTAGGTGGTGCTGAGGAAGAGTGACTGATCCAGTTACCTAGCTGGCTTCCATTCCTAAGGGATGAATATCACTCATGGTTTCTCAGTTTCTAGTCCAGCTACTTAGCCAGTACACCTGGGGAGCGTGGTGGCTCACATGGTTAGGATGCTGGATTGGAGCCCCTGTTCGAGATCTGGGTGCTTCTGCATAGGGGGGTGAGCTCCTGTCATTTGCTCCAGCTCCCACAGACGTCCCCCGTGGCAATTGTGATGTCACTGGTTAATCCTTTCAACACGGAAGCACCTTAGTTTCCTCTGACACGAATGAGATGGGGGACCAGTACACTAAACCGCTTCAGAAATTAAACTGAAATGGCATTCACACATACACGGCTATTTATTTTTATATGTTTGTTAAATTTATTTGCCACCTGTCTTGCTATGGGGCTACTCTCTATAAAATAAGAAAAAGAAAAAGAAAGGACTGTAAAATAGTAGGACACTAAAATAAACAATGAAAAAGCGCACAGTGAGAATATATACCAAATCTCTTCCTTTGTTTTGTTTTGTAATTGTCCTGCTCTCATGTCTTTTCATTAGATTCCCGAAGAGCATGATTTGGAGAGCCAGATCCGCAAAGAGAGGGAGTGGCGATTTCTGCGCAATGCTAGAGTCCGAAAGCAAGCACAGACAATTATCCAAAAAGGTGATTTCCCCCCCCCCCCCCGCTTTCTTCTTGCCTTTTCTGATGCCCCAAAGAGGAAAAAATGGCAATTTTTTCCGCTATGTCTATGTGCTCCATCCTGCTTCAACAATGCACCCTTGAGCCTCAATACTAATCATTGATCTTTGGTGTCAGTTTGGCTAATCTGATTATGTCCTCCCCAGACATCTGGCATACTATTCTATGAAGATAAAGTAGAAGTTATATTTCAATTACAAGAAAGGATGTTGCAAGCTAAATGGCAATTTTCCCCACTGCTGCTAAAAGGCAGAATTAAAGTATGATAACGTCCCTAATGCTTCCAAGGTTTTCTGCAGTTTCTTATGTATTGGCATTCTTTACCTTTATAGATTATTTTCCCCCGACTGTGCCTTTGGATTCAAGTCTATTCTGTGTTTTATTGAAAAGTCACCTGGCTTCTTTATAACTCTTTATGTATTTGCAAATTATTGTTTAAGAACTGTGATTATTTGAGTTCCTTGCATCTTGCTGATGTAACCCCCTAAATTTTGTATAGCAAAATAAAATAAAATAATGAAAAATAGATTGTGTAATAATAAGAATAGTGAGTCAGAGCGAGTGAATATGTGTTGCTCACCTACATTTTGAGCACGACACAAGATGTTTTTTTTTTAACCAGAATTAGAGAGAGTGGGTGGTTTCCCATCTTGAGTTATCAACTGGAAAAAGATTAGTGCAAAATATCAATTTTTTGAGAGAGATGATCTGTCTCTTACATGTAGCTCAGTTCTTTTGAAGTGACTTCATTCATCGTCATTGATTTAGGAGGGTTTTTTTTTGGAGGTAGGGTCTTTCTTCTATGCTTACTGTATGGCCCCCCTTTTTTCTGCACATAAGGGTTTCTCATGGCAAAAACTTGCTTTTGTGTGAGCCGGTCCTCATCCTTTTTAGCCTTTTGTTTGTATTTTTTAATGAGACAGTTTCAATTTCTTTGTAACATCTGTTTATGACACCTGTCTGCTTATTTTGCCTGATACCCAAAATGATGTATTAATTTGTTCAGAGCTTTTAAGTTCTAGATTTCCCAGGTGAGGAGTTGCAAGCAATAAGAGAAATCTGGCTGCCCTCTTTCAGTCAGGAAATATACACATAATGCTGAAGTACATCAGATGTACAATAGCTGGATCATGGTTTCATTTTTTGACTGGAAGAAGATAAATTAATTTACCTGGAAGAAAATGGAAGGGCTATGTTATTTTTTCCATTTAATTTGAAGAGTTTTCCTATGCTGTAGCTTAGATATATTTTTTTTTGTAAAACAGTAAGCAATGCCCAGTCAGTTTAGTGAACTATAAAAGATTGATGCTAATATTCTTTCTGAAATACTTTTTAGGTATTTCAAGACTAGATGATCAAATCTTTCTGAACAGGAACCCCGGCATGCCTTCTGTAGTCAAGTTTCATCCGTTCACACCATGCATAGCAGTGGCTGACAAAGATAGCATCTGGTAAAAATACTGATTTTAAAGTCACACAGTCTTATTTGATCTGATGCCTTCTTCTTGCCCCCGGAGGGAAGGCCTTATAAAACTATAATCTTGGCTGAGTATAGATTTTCTATACAGAGTTTCAAATTTATTATTCTTTCTACAAAAGCTGAAAAGTCAATGAAAACATAATAATCAAAAAATATGAAACACTGGGGGGGTGGGGGGTGGAGCAAACTATTTGCAGCCGTTCGACAGAATGATATCCTGGATACCTAAAGCCAGGTTAATTAATGGATTCCACTTTATTTCATTTAATTTACTCTTGCTTTTTCCCCCTTCTTTTCTCAGTTTTTGGGATTGGGAAAAAGGGGAAAAGTTGGACTATTTTCACAATGGAAACCCACGTTACACTAGGATCACTGCCATGGAATATCTGAATGGACAAGACTGTTCGCTACTCCTGACTGCTACAGGTTGGTATATTCTTTTTATGTAAAGCAGATAATAGAACTAAGAAGCATCAAAAGTTTTGTCTGCCTCATCATCTTACTGATTCATTCAATCTTAGACACAATATATCTCTATTTGTTTTCACACATTCTGCTAGCCAACTTTTGAGTCATCCCGCAAGCTGTTATCACACAGCAGACCATGATAATCATATAAACAATGATCCTATGAGTGTTTTACTATTTTCTTCACCCATCCTCATTTCTTCTCAAATACGTAAAACATGTTGAAAGTAGGCGAGAGAAATTTTATATTAGATTCTCTTCCATAATCTTCCTCCTGACAGTAATTGCAGGAATTCACATCATGTCATAACTTTGCCTCAGACTTTCTGTTGGTATGGCTCTTCCAAAGCATTCCCTCTCTGGGACTAATGTGAATTACCTGAAGCCCAAGAGCCACGTCTACCCCTTGGGTGCATCTCTTGAAGATCAACAAAAGTTGTTGGTTTTTTTAACCAAATTGTAATTTGTAATGTGAAAGAAGGGGGTAATTATTAAATATGTGTCTGGAAAGTAATTCTTTTGATTATATTTAATTAATTTCTAAATCAAAAATAGCCACTTTTTACAATGCATCCCTTAACAAGCTATTCAAAGACCAGATGGGGTATCCAGACCAGAAGATGTTGTACAAGACTTCAGGGTAGGTTAGTTTTAAAGAAAAGTATCTCCAGGAATATTCCATTATACAGCAACCTCCTTTACCTTAACCTCCCCAAACAGCATTATTATTATGAACATATTATTTACTGGGTAGATATTATCTAAGCATATCCTTCTCATAACCTTTATTAAGAGCATGATTACATAGCATAAGCAAGGCCCAGGTATTCCTATGATTGCTGCAGGGACTTGGGTATATAAATGAAAGAGTATTGCCAGTCCTAGAAAATAGATTGTATTCAATTAAGGAGAAATTGTATTTTTTTAAAAAAGTTATCCATTTAAAGATTTGAAATGTGGGATTCTTTTTAAAATGATTAAGCGCCTGGTTTTTAGTTCTTCAATTTCAATGCAGGCAATCTTCATCTTTCCTTAGACAATCATCTAACACTGTTTCCAATAAGGTGGAGATACTCTAGGTAGTTCCAAGTGTGCCTAGATCAGGGGTGTCAAACTCAAGGCCCGTGGGCCGGATCCCAATCTCCATGCGGCCCTCCCGACCTCCGTTTTCGCTGGCAGAAGCTTGCAAGAGGCTGTCGCAACTGAAAACAAAGCTCGTGAGGGCCACGCTCCCAATCTCCATTTTTGCTGGCAGAGAGTTGCAGGAGGCCGTCATAAAATGGAGCTTGGGAGCCCTTTTTCACTGGCAGAGCACTCAGGCGACCACAGGTGCCCCTGACACGAATGATGTTGAGCTGGCCACGTCTACCACACACACACACTCTCCCCCAAGGTCAAACACAACCTTGAATGAAATCGAGTTTAACACCCCTGGCCTAAATGTTGATTTTTATCACAGGGGTTCCTGCTACCATTTCTTGGAATGCTGCTTTTGGAAAGAAGCATGGCCACTTCTGAATCCAGAGCCCTTCCATCCCTCTTAAATATGCTTTTTGATAACTGACTTTACTAATCCCCTCCATACATTTCAGATACATTTGGGGATAAGTGAAGGTCCAAAAATTATAGCTCTTCCAGGCTAATAAGCCCAGTAGCTCTCCCTCTTCCCCTGCCATAATAGGCACCATCAGCCAGCCAGGATTTAGAAAGGGCTTATTCACCACTTCGTTTCCTCACCTGCTTTCATTGGCTTCTTCTGCCCAAGTCTATATAGCAATAGCACTTAGACTTATACACCGCTTCATAGTGCTTTTACAACCCTCTCTAGGCGGTTTACAGAGTCAGCCTTTTGCCCCCAACAATCTGGGTCCTCATTTTACCCACCTCAGAAGGATGGAAGGCTGAAACAGCCTTGAGCCGGTGAGATTTGAACTGCCGAACTGCAGCTAGCAGTCAACTGAAGTAACTTGCAGTACTGCACTCTAACCACTGTGCTACCTTGGTTCTATAGCTAAGATCATTGCAAAGTTCTTCTAAAAGCAATGACCTTATAAAGTATAACCTACCTGGATTTACAAGACAATCAGTCAGCTAAATATATACTCACAGAAAGCCTCTTCTCATGAGTCATTTTTTCTCCAACTTCATAATGAAGGTGTGTGTGAGAAAGCGAGGAAGCCTCTCTATTTTTTGAATGGCCACAGTGAAGTGTCATTCATAGAACATTACTGGACAATGCAGAGATGAAAATCTTTTTACAAAGAGATTAAGGAAAAAATAGGAATGGGTGGTTTCCTGGGAGATAAATGATTTATATCCCTATTTTAATCAATCCTTGTAGCCTTAAACAACAACCTGAGATCATGCTGCAAAAATTCAGCCAGATTTGGAGATGAATTTCAGCAATGTGGTCTCAGAATATTGGAGAATTGTATATATGGTTGTCTACTACTGTCCCAGACTGACAAACTTCTAAAATTCAGCATCATATTATAGTATAGAGGCTTCATAAAAAATATTTGAGCTAGAGTTATATCTTAAACACAGTAGAAAAATGCTTATTGGGTAACAAGAATGTAGCAAACAACTGAGTGAATAAGATACCACAGGTAGTATGAGCTCAGAATGATATATACAATAGGAAATCTGATGAAAACCAGTATGTTATGTCTTGTCTGATTCTTAATATGTGAGTCTATATTGTTTAGAATTTCTTATATGACAGCTCTAATTTTTAGGAAAGTTTTTTCTTAGGAAATTGACTATGATGAAAAGTTTAATCTCCATAGTGCTAGACCCAGTGTCAACTCTAAAGCTTTTGAAAATGGTATGCCTCTTTTATTTAAATCCACTAATCTAAAATAAAATGTTCTGTACTAAGATAAGGTTGTTTGCTCTATATTCCCAAAGCCACTTTTTTTATATTGCTTCGTATGTTTCTTTTTTTCTTTCTTTTTTCTTTTTTTGTCCTGTCTTCAAGATGATGGTGCTATAAGAGTGTGGAAAAACTTTGCTGACCTGGAGAAGAATCCAGAGATGGTAACAGCCTGGCAGGGTTTGTCAGACATGCTACCTACAACACGTGGTAAGTATAACCATAACACTCTTTTTCTGAATGTGAAATATAACAATAATTAGCCTTGGTCTGAAGTGAGGCTGGGTAATCTGGAGCTGTCTTCTTTGCTTCTGCTTTCAGTAGTATCTTGTCATTAGACTTTCGGCTGCCATGGACTGACATGTTCAGATATTTCTTCCCAGCCAGTTCAGAAAATTATAAAGACAGGTCTAAACATTCTACTTGTGGAATAGATAGAGAGGCATATTTTTAGTAACATGAATCAGGACTAAAGTTGTGTTCCCCCCTCCTGCACTATACGGGTTTTCCTATCAGTGGAGGTCAGGTCTAACTTTCTGCTTCTTGAGAAAGAGTCATAGAGAGCTGCACTGAGCACTGCCCTTCTTGAACTTCTCACAGCAATTGGTTGTCTCCTTCCAATTTTGGGTTTATCCAGAACCTCACTTCTTGCTGCTCTTCTCCTTTATTTGCTGATTCTTCCTTGACCCAGCTTTGCATGCTTCCCATATCACTTTGCTTAGCCCGCTTTGACTTCAGCACATACAGCACTGCTTCAGTCTTTCCTGCCATTAGGGGGGAGGGGGAGGGGGAAGGAGAAGAAAATAGGAAAAGTCACAATCAGGGCCTTTTTACAAGTTGCATAAACAGTCCCGACACGGTAAGGGCTCTGGCAAAGCTAGATGTCAACAAGAGACTTGTCACTATGCATATTTGATGGAGGCAAGTTAAGTAATACACACACACAAACACACACACAGAAAAACCTCTCTCAAATATTTTAATAGAAAGGTGTTCGCTCTGCTTCCAAGACATGAGGATTCATTAAGGCACTGACAGTTCCCATTTCTGAGCTGATACATCTCTGCCCTAAGGACTGAGAATTGCATCTTTGAAAATCTCCTGTTGCTATACTGCTACTTTGCTAACCTCTTAACATATTTGCGCTAACACAGCCAGTAATCAGTAATGATTTGACATGTCAATATAAAACATCTATGCCCTTTGAACTTTATGGTTTGAACACTTACAGAAGTAACATCTACATATTTTTCTTTAATGTCACCTTCCCTCACACTGCCCTGCTTTTCCTGCATAATGTGATTCAAGCTACTGATAGAAATCCACATGAAACATTTCACCTAGATCTAAAAAAAAACCCCAACCACAAACAACCCATTCTTGGCTTTTTCCATAAAAATCCTGAATTGTTCAGACAGTGGGAAAGCAGAGGTCCGTTTGTGGTAAACCCAGGTTTCTACAACATACCTCTCCATGTTCGCAGAACATGCAGTCCTAAAGGGCACATTTTAGGCATCTGGCAAAAAATCTTCCATTTAAAAGGCCATTTGTCAGCAGCCAAGCAAAGATTGCATTGTGCTTTGTATTGTAAATAGAAGAGTACTAGGCTCAGATCTTGCTGATCTTTTAGCATCTTCCCATCTCTGAAATAATCATTAAATAAATAATAAGTTCTTTCTTGTCTAAGGCATCTATATAATGCCCACGCATTCAGTAACTGTACATTTCAGTTAATTTTATTAGCAGTGTTTGACAGTGCCAAAAGAACGGTTCCTGTAAATTGAGTTTATTCTTGTGCAGCTTATTTAAAAATTTAAACTAAGTTTAAAAAAGGCAATCACCAAATCATTAAAGGAATATACAGTTAAAATGCAGGAGGAAATGTTTTTGTTAATTGCCTGGGTCACTCTTAAATAGAAACACTAATCTCAGTATAGTATAAATTCATCTAGTGATATAGACAGAAACACACACACAGACACACAAACACAAAGACCAGCCTTCAGTAGCGTAGAGCATCATGGCTACAAGTTTATAAGAGATAAAATCCCATGTATCTGGAGGGTACAAAACTGGGAGCTACTATAAGACATGATTTGCATGAAGAGTTAAGATGTAATAGATATTGATTCTACAATATTTAAAATTGATATTCATTATTTTAAAAAACTGAAAAGTGTGAAATCTTACACGAAGAAATACTATCTTCTGAGATATCTGAAATGCTGGTTTTCCCCCCCGTCTATTTAGTTCCTTTAAGAAGGTGCAGATGCTGCAATTGTAAGGGACAATATGGCATATACTGTTTGTACTATACTATTTTCACTTCTGATGTTAATAGCCAATTAGCTAAATAAAATCAGAATTTGAGCTATCTTTTGGATACCAGATCTGACAGAAAGTGCCATTTTCAGAAATTGGCTTAAAATATTAACAACCACTTAAAGAGTTCCTTCTTATGCTTATGAGTTACTGCAGTAAAAAAAATAGTCCAAGGCCAAAGGGAAATCATATTCCTTTGATACAGTTCAGTAAATATGCATAGGCAGATGTTATTTTAATCCTGGGGCTCCAGCATAAAGATAGGGGGCCAATGCAGTCAAATTCAATTGTATCCTTAGACTTTCCTTCTGTCTGCTTCTGCAGTTCATTAATAAGAGACAAGAAAATACTGACCAGATGATAATTGTGTAGTGTGACACCATCACATCACAAAATGTTCTGGCTTCATTTCAGAGAAAATGCACACATATTATATAGAGTTAAGTGTAATGAAAGCAAACTAACCCGATTTCATCAAATATAGCAATGAAACCAATAAATTAGCAATAGAGCTACTATCAACAGTTGATTCCTCAAGAATTTGCTCCCCAAAATAAAAGCACTGAAGACCCTGATAATCTGGGGTAAAGAAGTTCTTATTTTCCCTTGAACATCTCATTTTCCCTAACACCAATTAAGAGAGGGCACATAATAATAACATGGTTTGTCATATCTGATCCCCCCCCCACCGTGCCTCACCTCATGACTTCCTAACAAGTGCAACACATTCGGATGAATAAAAGCTTTAAGGGGGTTATGCTTTTATGAAAGAATCATTTATCTTCTGTTTCAACTCTTGCTGCTAGGGGGGGGGGGGGATGAATTGGCTAGGTCAGCTGCCCCCAACCTTTTGGGCACCAGGGACTGGTTGCATGGAGTGAGGTTTTTCCACGAACTGGAGGGGGCATGGTTTCATGTGCTGCCTGCATCCCACAGATGGAGCTTCGCTTGTTTGCGCAGCCCAGTTTCTGGTATGCCATGGTCTGGTGCCAGTCCATGGACCAGGGGTTGGGGACCCTTGGGCTAGGTAAAGCAAAATCTAATCAGTGCCAAGAAGCAAAGTGAATTAAATTAGCCCTCTACAGAGATGAGATATAAGTAATCTTCGACTTACAGTCACAATTGAGCCCAAAATTTATATTGCTAAGCAAGACAGCTGTTAAGTGAGTTGTGCCTCATTTTGTGATCTTTTTTGCCACAGTTGCTAAGCAAATCGCTGCAGTTATTAAGCAAAACATGTGATCGTTAAGCAAATCTGGCTTTCCCCCATTGACTTTGCCAGTCAAAAGCTGGCTGGAAAGGTTACAAATGGTGATCATATGTCACCGGGACAGTGAAATTGTCATCGATATATGCCAGTTGTCAATTTGGTCACGTAACCATGGGAATGCTGCAACAGTCATGAAGGGTGAAAAATGGTCACAGTCACTTTTTTCAGTGCTGTTCACTAAGCAAATGGTTGTAATTCAAGGACTACCTGCTCTTGAAAGAAAGCTGCTTTGGTTGTGGAAACCAAGGATTGTAATACGCTTATGGCCCCAAGTTTTAGTTACCCTTCCTTCGTATGTGGCCAGGGAAATCATCCAGACAGCCTCTGTTTTTGCTTTCCTTCATCTTGGTTCTGCCCTCCTTATCTGACAATGTGAGCTGCTTGATGAAAAATAGGTCACTGACCTCACAAGGGGTTTGAGGGGACAAAAGAGCAGATGACACTCATAAGGTCTGCCCTTTCTTTAATTACCTTCTTCTCGTGCACGTTTCCTCATTTGTGGTGAATCAGCTGGAAGGAAAGCAACATTATAATAATAGTGCAATTCTTTTGTTCTGGAAAAATATAAGAGGAGTCCAAAGGATTTTAGTTCTGTACTAACCTCATAACACAGTGACAGATCCCCTCTTCTTTTGACAAAAAATAAATAAATATGCTCTTGCCTGGCTTATTTGTATTTATCAGATGAATGTCATTGTCCTCCATACAAGAAGAATAAGAGCAAATCGGAATTGCTTATCATCTAGTGTTTTGATTTATGTAAAATTTCCCACCATAATATGACACTGAAAGAAAAGATCCCTAGATTCAATGAAGAAGGAGAGGTTGCTCAGGGTCAAGATCTTATGAATTAACTCCAGTTTAAGTCAAGTCAAGTCAGCATAAAACTAACTTGGATTGTAATAAAAACATTGAGAAATAAATGCAAGCACCATCATAAATTGTAAGTACACATTATGTCCTAAAAGAAATTCTTGACTGCTCTAATTCTGTATTTTCAATGGAGCAATGAAACCAAAGCAAATGACCAGAGCTAGTTGACCATCTCCAAAAAGTTCCTAATCAGAGTTTATTAACACTGGTAGTGCTTGACTTATGATGATCCGTTTAGCAAGTTGTGATGGCTCTGAACAAATTATGGTTAGGACCGGTCCTGAGTCCTGGCTGTCCCAGGAATCCCATGATCTTGTGATCGTGATCTGCGTTTATGGTAACCAACTCGCACTTACAACTGGTGGCAGCTTCCTGTGATACAGGAAACCTGCCAGTGGATCTGACTATTTGAGAGACCGCCTCCTGCCAATCACCTCCCTGCGTCCCATCAGATCGCACAGAGTAGGCCTCCTCCGAATTCCATCCGCCAGTCAGTGCCGACTGGCGACTACGCGGAGGAGAGCCTTCTCAGTTGCCGCTCCGACATTATGGAACATCCTCCCCGTGGAGATCCGTACCCTCACCACAGTCCAGGCCTTCCGCACAGCACTTAAGAACTGGTTATCCCGTCAGGCCTGGGGATAGGATTACTCTCACCCCGCCCGAATGTTGAGTGAATGTTGTGTTTTATGACTAATTTTTCTTTAAACCACGATTCTTTTCTTTTAAGTCTTGTCTTGCACCCCCTTCCCTTTATTGTTGTAAGCCGCCCTGAGTCCCCTCAGGGAAAAGGGCGGCATATAAATTTTCAATAAAATCAAATCAAAATCAAAAAATCACTATTTGTGAACCTCTCAGCAGGCTTTCCCAGAAAGTCAGTGGGAAAGCCGGGAGGGAAGATCACAAACTGCTGGAGTAAGTTTCCCCCACCCAGCCCCTCTGTGCTCGCACCACACCAGCCATTTGTGCACCCCTGCATACTGTTCCCAAATTTCACCATACATCTCCGCCACTTGCATACCTTCCCCAAGCCATTCTCTAACACTCTTATGCACTCTCTCTGAGTATGACACCCTCATACAAGCTCCCCAGCCTCACTGCACCTCCCCCATCTCCTACTCATGCTTGTGCCTCCTCTCCGAGCCTCGCTGCACCTCTCTTACACATACCCTCACACCCTCCCAGAGTTTCCCTGCACCTTTCTTCCACCCCCACCCATTCTCCCCAATCCTTGCCACAGTCCTTACATGCCCTTGTGCACCTTCACCCACATCCTCCCAGATCCTTCCCATCCCTCTTTGACACCCTCACACAGGTCCTCATGCCCTTCCCCACCTGGCAGCAGCCACTTGAGAGCTGCCTGGGACTTGCAACTTCCTGCCGGTTTGATTGTGGGAAGCCAGCAGGAAGTTGTCTCACCAAATGAAGTTTTGTTAATTTCCCACATTGCTTAGTGATGGAAATTCCGTACCGGTTGCCATTGTCAATCAAAGGCTGCTTTTATTTGGATGGGAGCAAGAAATCCAGAGCTTTAGACTGGAGTGAGAAACCTGCCAGAAGACCACAGTGCCAAAGCTTTTCCATTTGATTAGACTTTTCACACTCTTCTGTACGGTTGTTGGGTTTTTCTTCCCTGTAATGTACAGTCTGACAAAACGAGAGTTGTGATATAAAAATGTCACAGGAATAATTTATTCTTTTTCTTCAAGAAGCTCTGGAAATCATACCTTGATATCTATTTCTACAATATACGCATATAGCCCCTGAAATTTTAATCAGTTTTACAGGCTGAGGATCAATAGACTTTATAGCTAATCCACTGTTTAACCCACTGCACTATCTAAGCTCCTCTAGCATTTGATAGACCTTAGAAATAACTATTTTTATGAAGCATAAACTGCATAAATAATAGATCAGCTTAATTATTTCATAGCACTTGTTAAAAGAGAGAATCAGATGTAAAAGCAGAGAGAGTCAAATTCAGGTTTCGGTTCAGTAAAATTGCAAGCAAGAGGCCAGACTGGAAAGGATTAGTTTTTAGGATTTCAGTTGTAATTTGAAAATGCCAAAGTTGATTTGTGTAATTGATATGTCAGACCTCACAAGAATTATGCAGCTTATTTGACAAAGAGGACATTTAAAGACTTATTAACAGACAGAATCGCATCTAAAGGGGGGACTTGCCCACTTCTTACAGCATCAACAAAATGGCATTTTGTTGATACTAAATGGGTTTTGGAAAAGCAGGAGGAACAGACGTTCCGTGTTGTTCTTTCCTAGACCAGATCAGCTGTCCAACTAATCGGATGGCCTGACAACCTGCACAAAGCTTGGACTGCTGTTGAACTGTAACACGGAAACTTTGCAGTGGGGAAAATGACCATGCCAACAGCCTATAACAGTGATGGCGAACCTTTTTCGCCTCAGGTGCCAAAAGCACGGACATGTGTGCTATCATGCACGCGCGGATGTCCACCCCCATAATTTAATGCCCCTGCACTGTGCCTCCTGCGCACGCACACATGACAGCCCTCTGCCCCATGCATGGGCACACGGCTCTCTTTGAGAGTGAAAATGTTCTCCCCCACCCTCCCTCGAGGCTCTCCGGAGGTCAGAAACAGTCTGTTTTCTGACTTCTGGTGAGCCCAGTAGGTCTGTTTTTCGCCCTCCCCAGGCTACTAGAAATCCTCCTTTCTAGGAGCCTGGGGAGGGTGAAAAACGACCCAACTTGCAGACCAGAAGTTCGGAAACGGACTTCCGGGTTGCCCATTGGGCCGTTTTTCTCCCTTCAGAGGCTGAAGCTGAAGGCAAAAAATGGCCAAGAATCAAGACCGAAAATCAGCTGGCTAGCGCACACATGAGCGCTAGAGCTGACAGGGCAACACCTTGCGTTCTCTCGGAAATGGCTCCATGTGCCACCTGTGGTACTCGTGCCATAGGTTCGCCATCACAGCCCTATAATGTTTTTCCAGCTGTTTCAGTTCCTTTCAGGAATGAAAATGCCTGCCTTAAAAGGAGCAGGAAATTCTCTCCCTGGATTAAATAGATTTCTATGGCCAAGCTAGTCTCAATGAATATCTAAAATTTAATTCCCCACTCTCTGTCTGCAACCATTACCTTCCATCTGTACTCAACATCCAGGTTTTCTTTTTTCCAAAAAAACATTTTTTTAAAACTTCAAATGTATCCCCCTTGTAGGACTAATTTCTCCACTTAGGCAGTTGTTTGAGCAGTGCCTCTATAAATTGTGCTGTCTCTCCTAATCTTGAGTGGTCATTAGGAAATCACTGAAGTATGCTTTGCTGAAGCCTATTATATGACTCCACAGCTGAGCTGGTGGCTCAGAAAGTGAGGCCTGAAGAAAACTTGCTGTTTTCTGTTTTATTTCCTTCATGTTTTAGGGTATGGTTTCTGCTATAGTCTCACTCAGAGCAATATTTTCATTTCTCACGCTCCTTTGATCATAAGACGCCTTTCAGTTCTAGATCCAGAAAAAAGGCCATGATTAGAGAAGACAATGTCAGATCAGTTGGGAGCATGACTACAAAACCCACCCCTACCACCAAAAAAAAAAACCCTCCCCCCCCTTCCTGTGATTAATGGCTTCCTAGGATGGCTGCTTGAGTCAAGTTGCTTGTCTTCCTTCCTTTCCTGAATAGAAGCTTTTGCTACCGCTTCTCTTTAACTCTGTTCTTTTCTGTTCCTTTTGGGTTGTGTTTTCGACTCCTTTTAAAGATTTGTTTTGCTTTGGCTGATCAACTTACCCTTAGCATCAACCCCTTAATCCCTGTCTTCTCACAGGTCTGGCCCGAAGGGTTTCAATCTATCTTGACAGAAGTAAACAGGGAGGTGAGTGCTCTCTTTCCTCTTATGTACAAGGGAGGGATGGACCTTCTAATCTTGTTACTTGGTTGAAAAGAAATGGCATTCCTTTTAACGCTTCCTAGGCCATGTTAGCACTTGAAAAACAATTTAGTACCCACAGCCTGTTTGTGTGAGATCTGTTTGTGTGAGATCTCTACATCATGGGTGTCTAATAACGCTTCTGAACACAGCGCAGCAGGATGAAGGGGGGGGTGTTCTTTGCTTTGGGAGTCGGCTTATTAACAAGAAGTGGAATTGGGAAATTGTTGCCATGTTATTCCAATAACAGGGCACCAAAGCTCCATGACCTGTGTGTATATTCTTCCCACCCTGTCTCTGTTCTTCTATTTTTCAGGAGGTATTTGGGGATGTCCAAGTCTCATTTTTTCCAAAATGTTCATGATGAATATTGCCTTTGTTCCAATTTTGACACCCTGTGCAAAATATACAATGGCTGTGACCTTTTGTGTTGTAATATAGAAAATGGGTTTCCTCCTTTGTAATGTAAATGTCCAGAAAATGGTTCTGAATCTTGTTTTTGACTCCGGGTGAAATCTGTATTTAAGATTTGGGGCAGGGTCAGTCATACTGTGGGACTTGAAATCTTTCTCTGCTGCTTTAGATGTTAAGGTAGGGATCAATGGCTAGCACAACAGGATGTGAGGTGTGTGTGTGTGTGTCAGAAGGGCTGATGTAATCTTCTGAGGTGTTTCATGAATTATGAATACAGTATTCACTTGATGATAAGAGCCGGGATATGTCAGCAGTGACGCCAGAGGAAAAGTGGCTTTGTGCCTTGTGACTTGGTCACGGAGACCTTTGTACTTCAAGTTGATTCTTTGGAAGGACTGCACAAAATTAATGCAGTCATTTTACCATATAGAGCCTCCTCGCTGGCCCATTGACAGGGTACTAATGAGCAAGCTGGAAGATTGAAATGACTTCCCATTTGATACATTGAGCATCCGACCAGCTTAATGCAACCACCATTGAGAATCGATACTAATAATGCTCAGGCAATAACCATCAGCCAGAAGCAGATAGACAGATGGTTTTTATTCATCACCAGGCTATCAAGCTAGGAGGCCTGTTGAACTCTTTGGTCTTCGGTCCAAGGGTGCTTTTCAGAGTGACTTAGTGTATTACAGCACAGAAAATGAGATGAATGGATACAGCAGTGCATTTTCTTCTTTTTCTTATGCTGTGCTAAGTCACAGCCGTTATCCTAATATTCAGGCGCCAATCACCCTTTCTTCATGGCCAAAATACAGTAGTACTCCATTTCTCCTTACCTTAAATCCCAGTTCTAGTCTCTAAAATCAGCGTGAGCCTCTAAATCTTGTTTCCTGTCTTTTTTATTCTCACATCTAACTCAAACCACAGTGGTGCAGAACTCTGAGAATGCAATCAGTTACCTCAAGGACAAGGCCTCCAGGCAGGAGATGCAGGGTCAAAAAAAGTCAATGGAAATCATGACTTTGATCAAAGTAATATTGATCAAAGCAAAGACCCTATTTTGCAAATAATCCTTATGTGCCCTGATATGGAAAGATTTAAAGGAAAAGAGAGGAGATGGTACTACAATATATGGCGCTGGTGGGGCTGTTATCCAACATTTCTCAATCAGTCTAAGAGCCCACATATGTCCTCTGTGCCAGCACAAGATGAACTGACCACCACTTCTCTAGTTGCCCAATAAGGAAGTGCCCAAATCAGCCTCCAGCTGGTACTTTTGCCCTCTCCCTGTCTCATATTTCCTTGGCTTCTGCAGCAGAAAAGTAAGAAAAAAGCTAAGTCACTAACTACAAAGCTGCCCAGAAGCCCAAGGAGAACAAGAGGTGCAGGATAGGAAAAGGAGAAAGCCACAGGATCAAGAGGCAGGGAACAACAGAGGTTCCCACTGATAGGAGGGCAGCCACCTGAAACCCTGCAGAGCTTGAAAAGGGAACGTTGAAGTTTTAAGCTGCACTACATAGAGCTGGAAGAAAATCAGCTGAGCAATCCAACACCTATTGATGTCCTAGGATCACAGAGGCACAATTGGACCAAACCCCCATGAAGACATTTATCTCCCAAGAAGTTCTTCTGCAGTCAGAGCCATAAAGTTTGGTATCCTACAAGAGGAGAGACAATGAAAGTAGGACATAGTGAAGAGGGCTGCGATTCTGAGCCCTTTTTTGTCGTGTAACTGATATTTGGGATGAGAAGAGTGTTATTTGGAGGGGCATTTTTAGGATTGAATGAAGAACGAGATAATCTACCTTCCTCCCTGTTGCTTGAAAACAAAAAGAGAAACATGCCTTATGCAGCAACCAAGAGAAATGGTCTAGAAAAGATCAGCTATGCATAATTGGTACTGATGCTCTGTTGTGGCCTCTATGCATACAACTAATCAAAATGGAGGATTAGAGCAGGATAGAACACCCAACCATTATTCTTACGGGACAGGGAATCTGAATGGTATTCCTTTGGAAAGCAGTGGTTCATAAAGTCAAGCCCCTTTTTTGAAGTTTTTGCTGATCCATTGAGATGCAATTCTGCATCCTGCATGGATCATCATTGGAGGTTCTCCTTTTTGATATGATTTTACCTAGTTTGGTAATGAAACATCTGGAAGAAAACAACCAAGCTCAGAGAGCCTGAATGACCCAACAGTGCCCTTGTACATCATAGTATTTCAAGCAGGACTGTTACTTCTTGCATGAAGCAAGTGGGCTGAAACATTTTTAAAAAAATCTGTTTTCTGGAGAAAGTTTTTTTGCTCCCAAATCTATTTAATCACATACGATGCTTTCAGAAGATAATTATTGCTGTAACAAAGTTTGGGTTTTCAGGACCAGGATCTGATAGTAGTAGTAGCAATAGCAGGTTTATATACTGCTCCATAGTGCTTTTACAGCACTCTCTGAGTGGTTTACAAATGTCAGCATATTGCCTCCAACAATCTAGGTCCTCATTTGACTGACCTCAGAAAGATGGAAGGCTGAGTCAACCTTGGGTTGGTCAGGATTGAACATCTGGCAGTTGGCACAATTATCTTGCAATATTGCATTCTAACCACCGGCACCACCAAGTCACCATAATCAATTCCATGGCCAGATTTTTCTCACAATACAGGGTGGCAGTGGCAGTTTCAGATTTCTCTACAAGAACGAGCACATTTCAATTTCTAAAATTAGGTTTTTACTTTTGAATGTGTATCCCACTTTTGTGTTTTTTCCACCACCAAATCCACTTATTACATTAGTGAATTATCACTACCTTAGTATTTTCTTGATATTTTCCTCTTTGTCTGGCATCCCAAGGCAGATTGATATTCATTGGTTGCATTCACAAACAATAGATGAAAAGTATATTTTTGTGAAACTATCCAGGTGACTCAAAACAATGGGGTCATTCTGCATTCATTAAGGGAGTCTGTTAAAACCTGAAAAAATAGTTTCTGAAATGAGTTTTTAGCAATATAAGGAAAATTCGTTGAATCTTCCTGCCTTTATTCTTTTTTTTCCTGTTGCATAGTTCAATATTTTATTTTCTTCCTTTGTTGATTTTAAGATTGATATCCTACCACGGCACCTCCAGCAGTGTCGCTCGTGGGTATCTAATCATCCCAACATAACATGTTAGATCACTTGAGCTCCAAAGGATTCCAGTGCGATTTATGCTTTTAGAATATCATTGCTTTGCTATTTCTTTGATTTCCAAGGTGGTTTAAATCACGATAAAATCAAAAGCCATAAATAATAAATTTCATGTAGCATCAGTAGCTGCGGTCCAAGGCAAGCCAGCAATAAAATGGAACATACGATACCATCTTAAGAAAACAGTCCAGTTTGGGAATCATATACAGTAAAGGAGGGGGACTCTGCAATTGGAGCATGGCTATCGGCACTTGCTCCTGGGTTAAGGACCAGAACCAGAGAGTTCAGTTGCCATTATATCCAGGTACATTTGAAGAAACAGCCTTCGCATGGTTGTATTTGGGTTCTTTCCAAGGATGCATTTGCACAAAGCAGCACTGGCACACTGTCCTTGACATTATGGAATTAATACAGAAAGACTTTCTTGTCGAACAGACAGGCCTGTCTCCTCCTTTTGTGTCTTTCAAATGGGGAGAGATGGTTCCCAAAGGGAAAGGGAAGGATAGGCTTCACAGTCTTCAACAGGGATATATATATATGGAGTCCTTGGCTTAAGACCACCATTGAGCCCAGCATTTCTGTTGCTATGCCAGACAGTTGTTAAGTGAGTTTTGTGCCGTTTTACAATCTTTCTTGCCACAGTTGTTAAATGGATCAATGAACTTGTTAAATGAATCTAGTTTCCTCATTGACTTTGCTTGTCAGAAGGTCGCAAAAGGGGATCACTGCAACTGTCATAAATATGAGTCACATGCCAAGGATTTTGATTACATGACCATGAGAATGCTGCAATGGTTATAATTGTGAAAACAGTCATAAGTTACTTTTTTCAGTGCTGTTGTACCTTAGAATGATCACTAAACAAACTGTTGTAAGCTGAGGACTACCTATATTTAGCAATAGCAATAGTGCTTAGACTCATATACAATTTTCACAGTGATTTTACAACCCTCTAAAAGCAGTTTACAAAGTCAGCCTATTTGCCTCAACAATCCGAGTCCTCATTTTACCCACCTCGGAAGGATGGAAGGATGAGTCAACCTTGAGCTGGTCAGGATCGAACTGCTGGCCAGCAGCAGGATTAGCCTGCGACACTACCTTCTAACCACCACACCACCACAGCTCATTTAAATTGGACAATGGCAGGAAATATCTGCTATATTACAAAGTAAAAAGAAATACATATACGAAAAGTTTGCAAAAGAGCACAACCATGGAAGCAGAGAAGAGTGTTACAATCTCTGTTCACACAACTCAATTGTGCTCGTACCAATAAATGGATGCAGCTTCATGTATTAAAATCTTGCTGTCTGAATATTGGGAGTGCAATCAAGGAGAGCCCAT